ACACTATTAGGCTACAATATGAGGACTATGACCTCTGACATCTACTAGCTTGCAGTCAAAGATTCAGACAAATCATCACAAAAAAAGACACAAACAGAAAACCACTCAGTAAGCAAATAACAACAAACAACAATCACCATGTCCAGATATTTAAACTGAGCAGAACTGAAACTCCCTAAACTTGCCTACTACTGAACTAGCTTTCGTCACCTCCCTGCTCTTAACAGCCCCTTTGCATAAGTGTGCATACTGTGACAACACTCTCCCACGTGCTTAAGCAAATATTTATGAAGCCTCCTCTAAAAACTGCTCTAAAAGTTTTAATTTGTAAGCATTTTCAAGCTCAACCTAGAATCAAGCTTCCCAGAAAGATTCTGGACCCTTTCAAGAACGTCCTCACAGCCGGAGTAGTCCAAAATCCAGACTAGAAAAACCTGTTAAATCGTCACAGGAGTGCCAGACAGACACACCCACCCCAATGTAAAGGAAAAGCAAGGAAGTAGGAGCCCTCCACGACTCCGGAGGAACACGTCTGCTCTCAAAATCAGCCCCTGGAGACGTTTTCACACCCCTCTCCACACAAGCACTCGCAGTTCACTCATTTCTGAAGGAGGTGCAAGTGCTCCAGTGTGAATATCCTACCACTGGAGCTCACTGTCCTACTGCTGTGAGGTCAATACTGTGTAACTAGGATTATATGTCAGCTGTGATGAGCATAGATCAACTCTTTATTTAGCCAAGGATTCTAACAATGCAATTCAAATTGTTATGGGCTCTCAGTATTTCCAATTGAAAGGTAATGAACATTAATTTACCACCGAATTAATCCCCATTTCTCATTATGCTGTGACCGAAAATGCCAAATGAAAATGTTCCCACAGACCATTATGCCATTTGGCTGTCCTGTCCATTTCCATCTTCATCTATATCACTGTTGTCGGAACAAAATCTCCAAAATGACCTATTTTACTTACTACCTACTGTTTACATACTTTACTTTTAATGTAAGTCAATGGAACCAGACTTTTTTCCAAGTAATTTTGGGCCATTTCTGTCAGTCCATTCATCATGAAATTACACACCATGTAAAGGACAACAGGCATTTTCAAAATATGTCAAAAACTGAAAAATGGAGATACAAAGTTTTGCATACATATATACACATTATATACATATATACACACACACACACACACACACACACATATACACATATATATATATATATATATATATATATATATATATATATATATATATATATATATATATATATATACACATACATACATACATACATACACACACACACACATATGTATATATACACACACACACACTTTCTAAGATGCTTATCCTTCTGGGTCACGGGGGGAGCTGAAGCCCATCCCAGTGGCCATTTGGCAGAGAATATATGTATATATAGATAGATAGACAGATAGATAGATAGATAGATAGATAGATAGATAGATATGAAGAACAAACCATTAAATCCAAGACTTTCCAAGATGTTCGTATAGATTTACACAGCAAAAAGAGTCATAATTCATTTTTTCATTACATGCATTTTACATGCATTCCTTAATTAAACAGCCTGTTTATCTTACTGTGCCTTCAGGACTGATAAACGTTAAAGACCTCTGTCCTGGTTGGCTGCCCTGTATTGTGCCTCATTCAAAAAGCAGACCAGCTGAATGATTTGGGGAAAATATCTAACTGCGATTTTTCTGACTAACATTGCGACTGCAGTTTCAGACACGTTCAGAATGTCCGTCTTTTCAGGCCTGAGGCGCGACCCCTGAATGCAGCGTGCCAAAATGTCAGTAAGTTGTGGTTATGATGTCACAACACATGGAGGTTTGGTTGCCTCTGACTGGTCTAACTTACAGGCAGTTCACAAGCCCTGTGTTGTGTTAAAATTTCCCAGCCTAAAACTTGGACATGGGCCTCGTTCACCAACCATTCTTAAGAAATCTCATAGGCTTTTTCTTAGGACTTTTCTCAAGAATGCATTTAAGAACAACCTTGGAAGATACTGGTGAATGACCTCCAAAGCTTTTGATAAATGTAGGCCAAAAACTTCAGCACTTACAATTTGAAAACAGATTTCGATATAAAAATGATTGGCCTTTCAGCCTAAAACACTCAGTATAACTTCTGTGTGAATGGCAAGAGCTGAATTCTAGTTGGCTGAATAGGCAGATGTGTAAATATGTTTTTTGTGATTAGGGCTGAGTATCATTTGAAAATGTTCGATACCAACACTGATACGATACTTTCAATTATCGATACCATAACGATACTTTTTCTTCTAATTGTGACAAAAAAATTCAAAAAAGGAATAAATATTATTATGATTTTCTTCTTCTACTGCATACCAGGCAGATATCCGTGTGTTTGACGGCATATCTCTGAATGGGGGCTGATATTTAATGCTTTTGTCATCTCTCTGAATAAATAAAAACACTGAAAAAAACGTATTCGCAAAGCACAAATACATTATTGAAACCATTGTTACAGGTCTGCCATAGAGCGATAAAACAAACGATCTATCCTGCGTATCCCACCTAAACCAGAGACATTCAACAGTCAAAAAGAGCTGCAATCCTTTAACAATAAAACTGGTTACTGCTGTGTAGCTTTTCTTCCCACCTCTCAACTGACATCCTTAGCTTTTCTACTACAGTGAAAGGGGTTGTTTCTCCGTGGGCAGCTGCATTAGGATGAGTAGGACTGGCCCAGCACTGTCAAAGCCCTCATTTCCAACATGAAAACGACATGCAAGTTAATAGGGCTTATTTATGAACCCTACGAAACATGAATTATATCAATGTTACAGTTACGCTCATACGGCGGGTGAATTGTAGCCAGCTAGCTAGCTCATACGTGCTATTTTATGCTAATATTAGCATACTGTCTTTGAGCGCTGACAAACAGCATAGAAACGAGTGTTAGTTTTCTCTGGCAAAGCGAGAAAAGGTGACATTAACCATTAACCAACTTGATACTTTATCACTGGAAACGCTGCCGTCTGCGCGTGGTTGTAATATAACATATTTAGCCCAGATTCCCGCATCTCCGGCAGCGACGCAGTGCTGTTCTTCATGCAGTCGCAAATTCTGCCATTTTCTTGATGGAGGTTAATTCCATGTGTAATCAGATTCATCAGATTTGACGTATTACCAGTTTTGGAAGCCACTATCTTGAGGCACTTGCTGCACCTGGAACTGTTCTGCCAGAGTCTCTGCTGCTCGGTTAACACTGTAATCTGTGATCGGTCACTCATTACAGAACTAACTCTATGTATGTTTTCCTTTCTTTGCCAAGTTGAACAGCTGACCATCCTGTGCGTCTGATGCTGTTGCTTCTTCTGCCTTGATTGGGTGCCCACTGCTCGCCAGCCTTCTGGACCGGCTTGACCACTACTGAGCTTCATGCTGTATTCATGCATAGACTAAAACTAATCTAATTAACCATTGCTCCAATTGTTTTCCCCATTTTGTACTATAATACTTTATACTAATGCTGTTTACTATCCGGTGTCGACCAGAGGAAGATGGGTTCCCTTTTTGAGTCTTGGTTCCTCTCAAGGTTTCTTCCTCTTGCTCTTATGGAGTTTTTCCTCCCACTGTCGCCACTGGCGACGCTCATGGGGGCTCGGACCCGGATTTTTCTGTAAAGCTGCTTTGTGACAACACTGACGTAAAAAGCGCCATATAAATAAACTTTGCTTGCTTCTCAGTAACTTTTTCGAAGTAGAGCCAGACTTTCGACCTCTTCAACACATTTAGCTTGCTGTGTGCTCTGTGCGTCAGGAAGACAGTCGCGTTTTTATTTCTTTTCTTTTTTTTGTATTAGTTGTAAGGTTACTCCACTAATCCCTCGTGATTTGTGTTTTATGCAAAGTACCGAAAATAGGCACCGATGTTTTTGAGGATTTTTGGTACTCGGTAGTACCGAGAAGTTTCGGTCAGCGCCTTTTTGGTATCGAATTTCGATACCCAGCCTTATTGGTGACGTCACAAAAGGAAGCTCAAAATGAAGCTTAGTTTATATCTACTGAGTGTACAGACTCTGGAGTGAATGACCTGGTTTAAAAACAATGTTTACACATTACATCACACTCATTTAAAAGTGAGGAGAGTTCAGTTTTCACTGATGTGGGCCCTTTAAACGGTTGTGGCTTTGTGCCTTGCCAGCTGACTGACTGGGGAAATCCGCACCTCAAGCTTACGAAGCATGAAGCAATGAATGGGATTAAAACATCAGCGGAGTAACATACTAATGCCTTAACCTACATTTACCACATCAACATTACTCTGAAAGTGTTTGCTTAGTTTGCTCAGAGAACAGAAAGGACAGATTAAACAGGCCGGTGAGGGCACAGCAACCATGACCATGGACACAGCCTGCTGCTCACAGACAGAGAACCGAGACGGTGAGTGTACAAGATGGTTTTTCAAGGGTTCTCAGTAAAGGGAACAGCTCTAAATAGAACCATGAACATTACCCATAACCATTTGCATGCTTGAATGGCCCTCTGCATGGTGAAGTGGTTCTGTCTGGCACCAAAAAAAAGGGTTCTTCTATTGCCACAAGCTTGACATAACAGTAGCAGAACCATTTTCTGAATAGATTCTGTATAGAACCATATACAACATACACACTCTACCAATCTCAAGAACCATTCACCATGCAAAGAGCCATTTAAGCATGCATATGGTTCTTTGAGTGCTCATGGTTCTAAATAAAACCACTGTCTTTACTTAAGAACCATCTTTTTAAAGACGAGGCTGAAGTTGGCTCGCCAGCTCCTAGTTCGAATTGTCCCGTTCCACCTTAAACAATGCAGCTGACTGCTGCGTTTAAGGTGGAACGGGGAAATTCGAATAAAAGCTTCGTGTTTTAACGAGTGTTTAGTGAGTGTCTGGTGGAAAAAGGAAGAAGCACTGAATCAGGAACCAGGTGGACGTTTGTAAGAGCTGGGAGGCTGATCCTACCTTCATCCTCGAGGTCAAGTTTCTCCAGCATGCCTTCGGATAAACCGTGAACCTGTGGACGAGAGGAAGAGTCAGAAGACCAGATAGGAAAATAAACGACTTCTCTCCCTCGCCTTTCTCCACGGACACGGCTCGGTTGGGTGGTGGAGAGACCCGGCGAGGTCTGAAGAGGGCAAAAGCCCCGCCGGCTTCGCCTCGTCGGGCTTGAATCGCAAGACAGTTAGTCTTTAACAGCCTTAAGGACTCCAGTCGCCGATTTTAATGAAAACAAAACAAACGGTTAGCCTTCGTAGCGCTGCTGCTCTCGAGCTCCACACTCGGCTGTCACTCGGCTCCTCTCCGGCTCTCGTCGAGGTGTCGCCGGTTGAAAAAACCAAAACAAACCGTCGTCGCGTACGACCGAAAACGGCACAAACTGCTCTATTTCGACATGTTTATCGAGCTGTATGTTGTTAAAGTCGTCAGAGAGACTCTCCTGTTCTGCTGCCTTTGCTCAGGCTGCGTCCGAAGTGAATTATTATTAGAGACCCGCCCCCCCGTGTCGGCTCGAAATGGAGTATTCCGGTTTGCTGCAGCAGCCCAAGTAGAATGAAAGATTGGTTTGTTTCAAATGAGCTCAGTTTCTCGGTTTTACGAGGTGCCTGAAATATATAAAATAGATGCATTAGACCCGACAGAGTAAGCCTTTTCTTAATAGATATAATTGTGTTATCGGAAATGTGTCAAAACAACCTTTTTGGCATCGAACGAGATCGTATTTCGCAATATCACTATAGCAAATATTTACCATTAGTTTTCAGCCGCTGGGAGATACCATGTCAATTACAACCACAGAGCGTCTTCATTTTACAGTGAGGAGACACGCAGACAAGATTTCCTGTTTCACAAACTTTTTTTCCCCAAACAGGGTGTAACGGAGCCTCTAAAGTGACATTGTCATTATTTTTAAAAAAATCGTGGTCACAAATTAATATTTTTAAATCAATATTTTAAGGCCACTATATCACTACTTTGAGGCCACGAATTACTATGTTAAAGACATAAAAAACTAAATTGAGGCCATTGATTACTATATTGACGCCACAAATTACTATATTAAAGGCACAAAGTGCTATATTGAGGCTTCAAACTACCATATTGAGGGCATGGATTACTATATTGATGCCACGAGTTACTATATTGAAGGCACAAATTACTATATTGAGGCTTCAAATTACTATATTGAGGGCATAAATTACTATATTGAGGCTTCAAACTACTATATTGAGGGCATGGATTACTATATTGATGCCACCAGTTACTATATTGAGGGCACAAATTACTATAGTGAGGCTTCAAACTACTATATTGAGGGCATGGATTACTATATTGATGCCACCAGTTACTATATTGGGGGCACAAATTACTATATTGAGGGCATAAAAACTAAATTGAGGCCATTGATTACTATAGTGAGGCCACAAATTACTATATTAAGGGCACAAATTACTATATTGAGGCTTCAAATTACTATATTGAGGGCACAAATTACTATATTAAGGGCACAAATTACTATATTGAGGCTTCAAACTACTATATTGAGGGCATGGATTACTATATTGATGCCACAGGTTACTATATTGAGGGCACAAATTACTATATTGAGGGCATAAAAACTAAATTGAGGCCACTGATTACTATATTGAGGCCACAAATTGCTATATTAGGGGCAAAAATTACTATAATGATGCTTCAGACTGCTATATTGAGAGCAGGATTACTATATTGAGGCCACGAGTTATAAGAAGCTTAACTCATGGCCTCAGTATATTAATTTGTGGCCACACCTTATTAAAAAATAATCACCATGTCACATTAGGAGCTCCACAGAGTTGAGAAAATACAAGCGAAATGTCTGATGAAAAGATTTGTCCTTGTGTATAACCGGTGGGATTTGGCTGAACTGTACATAAAGCTTGCTCAAAGCTATTTAAAGCTAAAATATTTTTTATATTACGCAATATTCTGTATAGAACCATTGTCTTCACTGAAGAACCCTTGAAGAACCATCTTTTTAAAGACATGCCTGAAGTTGGAGAAGTGCAGTATTGCACCCCTTAGCCTTATTTATGTGGGAGAGTTCCCCCAGCTAGCAAAACAACAACAACAACAACAATGGTAATAATAATATAAATAAATAAACAAGATAAATAACACAGCCTGTCCTGAAGTATCCACCCCAAAGCACTTTTTGTTTTTCAAAATGTACCAGAGTGTCCTTCTCTTCTCTAAAACAAGGATGCTGGTTCTGTCAACCAAGCTTATAAAAGAAGAAAAACACAGAGAGTCCAGGAAAACTCGAGTTGTTACAGAAAAAAAACTGGGCCTACTTGAAGTAAAAGGAGGCTAGTTAAGAAACTATTTTGCTTGCTCATGTTCTTTTCATATCAGGATGTATGCAATGCTAACAAGCGGAGATAACATCAGTAAGAGCTGCTGAACAAGGCCGGGCCATTTTTGCTCTCTATCAAGAAGTAAATATTTTTTTGTCCTACCGACTAATAGCGGCTAACTGTGTGGTTGTGTTTTCCCTGTACTTACTGAGATCTGAAAATGCATGGAGTAAAACTTAATTTAATGCAAATTAACACTTGATCTGCCAAAAGCAAAGGTGCAGTAAAAGAATAGTCAGTATGCAGCCTTGAATTTGCTCAAAACAGTACAAATTCTGATGTGAGGTAAGTAGAATTCATGCAATAATTTTAATTTCTAACACTTCCAACCTGTGATCCTGATATAAATTTAACTTTAAAGCTGTTCTAGACGTTTTGTCCAAAGGGGGTGTTGGTGAGCACCTGTAGCTCAAAGCCTATGTAGCCTCAGTTTTCACTGCCTGGAGCAGCGGTTTTTCATTTAAAATTCACCAAGGTCCAGTTAGAGAAAATATCCTGAAGCAAAGGTCCAGAATATCATAATGTCTAACTTGCATCATGATTCAGCGCCATATACTGTAAACTGAAGTAGTAGTTATATCAACATCTTATACAGTCAACAACTGAATGTCAAATCAAATAAAGTACAATTCAGTCATATTTCAACAACATTTATTGTCAGTTTCTCTTTTTGGAGCACGTCATGTGAAATAACTCCCCTCTGACTCACTTTCTTCTCTGACTGTTGTGTCTCGCCTCGTCCCTCCCCTGTGTGTGTGTCACTCACTCGAGTCTCAGTGCTCATCGTAATGCACAGATCTGACTGGCTGAGTAAGGCTAAGGCTACCTTAAAGGCTAGAAAAGTTACACCGATTAAAACAGGACCACCCTGTCTAAATTAAATAATTCTCCACAGTTTATCGGTTATAGGTCCAGGGCCGCATAGGACAGTGTCTGAGTCCGGACTCGGACCGCGGTCCGCCTGTTAGTGACCTCTGGCCTGGAGAAATGCAGCAGTGGCCATGGATGCAGCTCTTCCATTTGGCGAAAGGCTTTGTGCTTCATATATAAAATGTTTGCTTGCAAATCAACCCATGGCCGATGAGAGTCACTCCATTCTCTCAGTTCCACAGGAAACCAGACACAGGCATCATTTTAGACTTTTTTCATTTAAAATATTATTGTTTTTTATTTTTATTTATTTAAGTCCTGGACAAAAATATACACCAACACTTTCAAACTCTACCAGTGGCACCAAATGTTTAAACTAACTACATGACCGTTACTCCTTCTGTGTTTACACAAAATAAACAGTGTCAAATAGTATGTATAACGCAGTGATTTGAATTTCAGACACCCTGTTTTTTGCCTTAAGCCTGTTTTATGTAGGAGTTTCCAACATGAATTAAATTAAATGTTATATTTGTATGTGTTTGTTACAAAGAGGCCCATTCATATAAAAAAGACTCCTGCTGGGATTTAGTGACTCAGTGTTTGACTTAGCACATTCACAGTGCAGCATCTGGTAGTAGCCATAAGTAGAACAATAATGCCCAGTAATGCCCAAATTCCAGCGGAATGAGTCACTGAGTCACTGGGTGCGGTGGACGAATGTTATGATTTGTGGGGGTGGGGGCTGTGAATCTGGTAGTTTTGGTAAGTCATAACATGCATTCCAAATCAAGCTTCACAGTAATAATGATATCTTTCATCATTTTTTAAAAATATCTCTATACTGTAAAGATTTTTTTGCTTGTATAATGTTTATATTGTAAACTCCTCACCATCCCATGTGTAACATAAATCAGTACCTCATGTGCAAAACTCCATGTGAATTTTGGGCGAAATATCCTTACAGTGTAAATATCTTAGCTTTTTATTTATTTATAATCCTTTATATTGTTATTTTTTGTGAAGGATAGAGTTTATATTTTTATCTTATTTTTTACTTTTAGTATTTTATATATATATATATATATATATATGTATATATATTAGGGCTGGGCGATAAAACGATAACGATAAGTATCGCGATATAACTTTTCCTCGATAGAGCGATAAGACAGGTTTGATAAATGTTCGATATATAATACACCACTCTCACACTTCCGCGTTTTAGCGAAAGCCCTGGTGGCGTTTTCTACTGCAAGAAGAGCAGCACTACTCTGCTGTCGCCAGGAGAGGGCGCACTTCCGAGTTTTTCCACTTGATTAGAGAGGGACGGGGCCACGAGTAAAAAAGGGTCGCAAAATATACTTTAGCAACGGCTGAAACACGGAGTTATACAGTCCCTGTTTAAGTGGAGCGACCGGCGATCTGTTCTCCTGTGACCGAGTGTGAGTGACGAGGTCAGTGGTGTAACTGTACTGTCCTACAGCGAACTCACCTCTTTACTAACATCCTAACAACTTCAGCGCCAAACCATCATATTTTAGTATTAGTGCATTCTCGAGCAACAAAAGTGAAAGAAAGAAGTGGTTCATGTTCGAAAGTTAACTGAGGAAGCTATGAGGCAGTGGAGAGCGGGAGAGCGCTGTCTTTCCAGGCTAGCTGTTTTTAGCTGCTGGCTAACTTGAAGCAGCGCTCCGGCACAACACGGTGAATTGATGATACTGTAGATCAAACAAGACCCAAAATCACC